TATTATAGCGGAATCCAATTTCTCTGCATTATTCTTAATAATATTATAATAGTGTTTGCTGATTATAGGATTATAGTGATTTGTGACAGGATTTTTGGCATAATGTAAATCATGCATGACTTCTGTAAATATAGGAATAATAAACATTAGTTCTAATTTAAAATCTAGCATTAAGAATAATGAAGAATTTTATGACATAGAAATTAATTTAAGTAAATGCAAAATGTACTATACCACTAAAACTTTTCTTGGTCTCCTTATGTAGATTAGACACGTCGATTCTTGCAGCTAGTATAGCATAATCGGGATGTTTAGTTGCCATTGTAGCAGCAGTTTCAGCTGCCAGATTGTCAAGTACAACTGTAGTTACTCCAGAATATAAACCACGTATCACTTGAATCGCTACAGCAGACTAAAAATAAATTTAAATATTATACAAATTGATATTGTTACATTCGTAACTTATTTATTTGTATATGTAGCATTAATTTGTATCTGTTTAATAAATACTTTATGTATATGTGTGTGTAATAAAGCTTCTTTTGAAGATATAGATTCCATTCTTTCTGATATCATTACTATAAAATCATATAAGGAAAAAAAATATTTATGTATGTACATAAATATTTATGTATGCTTTTTTTTTGAAGAAACTATACATATATATATCTGTTTTTCATTTTCGACATCATATTTCTTATTGCATGATCATATAAAAAACAAAAATACTTACTGGATCTACATAATTCATATCCAAGTTATAACACTGTTTAACAATTCTGGAAGTAATTTTATCAAAATGAACATCCTCTTTACGCCCATCTAAAGAAAAGAGTAGTGTTAAACTTTAATCTCTCATTTTACCTCTAATGATTTTGTAATTATATAAATACATAACATTCATAATATCAATATAACATACTAATTTTATTGCGAATTACTTTGCAATTTTATGAAGTTTCTTGGCATTATAATAATATATTAATATTGTACAAAAAAAAGCTCATTTGTGGAAAACGATTACACATCCACAATCGAATTTGAAGGAATGGTTAACCCATAACTTACTGCGTTTAATAACGTGCATCTTTCCTCGCGGGGATTCTTTGATTGGCATCTTCAAGAGAGAATGATTATCATTTTCTACAGAAAGCTTCCGAAATGTCGTACTCAAATCCATATTAGCTGAAAAACTGACAGACTGATGTGTTCTACCAATAATTCACTGTACTCTGTAATCTGTATTCTATAATGTTAATCTCTTCGTATGCTAACAATTTTAGGCGCGAAACGGAAGAACACATGTTTGACATGCGCATTGCGATTTGTCGATTTGAGCCAATAGAGAACGTATTTCTAGAACTATACTTTTTAATCTCTAATCTGTACATTAATTGGCTCGCACGTATTATTCATTATTCGAGAGGGATATTTAAACACGCTCATCATTTCTCATGGTGTTCGTGTCTACTACGAGTTTTTTACAAGTTCTTCCCTTCTGCTTCATCCTAGATTTTAAAATTTGTTTAATTTCTATTATTTCTAATTTCTGATACTACTAATTAATTCATGTGTCCCTGACAACTCCATAGATCTCCAGGGGACATCCTTTGTTTCCTGGATAAAGTGTACTAATAGGGGTCATACATAAGGTCATACAATTCGTTTAATTTCTGTTGTTTCTGATTTCCGATACTGCTAATCCATGTGTCATGCAATAGTCTGATAGTCTGATATCTGGAAACTACAATATATCAAGATACTACAATATATCATTCAACATTACAGCATCATGAAACATTACAGCATCATTGCAACAATATTATTTGAAAAATTGCAATATTTTACAATATTGTTGTAATATTTCCAATAAATCATTAAAATTCTAATATTACAGCAATATTGCGGCATGCATTAAAATAGTATTATTGCGCACTGTATTGCTGCAATGTTGACATTAATATTTCGTGCTATAAGGGAACTAAAAAAAAGTCACGGTATTCATTAGCTAATTGTTTCATTCCAATGTTGAAAACTAAAGAAGTAGTAATAATACAGTATACTAACTTCGTTAAAATAAATCCGTATAACAAATCAAACTAACCAAGACTTATAAATCAAAGAACTGGAAAAAATACGAAAAATACGGAATACTGTGAATAAAAGTTATCCTGTCATGGTGAGCTCCCCTACATCGAGAATTTAAATGTCGGAATTTTTATATATATTAGTTTATGTTGTCTCTGAGGAAGGCTCAAAAGTGAGCCGAAACTATAAGCGCGTTTTAGTGAATAAAGAAGTTTCACACTTCATAAGTATATTATTTGCGCGACATCTTCTGCGCTTAACTTCTACTGCCCGTATCTTTTCTAATTCTTTGTTAAAATATTTCTAAGATTAATTTTACCTATATTTATATAACGACATGCTCTCTTTAATTAGAGAGAGAGAGAGGGTTACAAAAATATACAAAATGTTTATCTAAAGAATACATTCGTATAAAAAAAGTAGCCACAAATAAGAGTTATAAAACATTTGAGAATTTAAATCAATAAAAAAAAAACATACACATTTATATAGTTTAACAAATAGCACTTTAATCTCATGGATATTTACACAAAAAATTGTCTCATTGCATCCGTATAGAAAGGCCAGATAATCACGTCATGAATAGATTCGATCAAGAGAAAAATATATTGTTTAATGTCGACCGCGCGAATCGAGAGTTTGCAGAGCTATTATATATTTAACTATCTTGTGTGCGTATCACGATCCGCTAAATAAATATTACATTTTATATTCTTACATGTTTACGCACTCTTTGTTCGCACATGTTCGTATTGCCGGACTCTAATTGATAGTACTAATATGAAGGAGCCTTCAAACAATATGGACAACGTTCACCACATTAGCATATATATTTCTAATTATCTATATTGAATGTAGGGCAATATTTAACGAATGTGTGCAAAGTTGACGTATATATAATTGGTCATATCGTTTGGAGGTACCTTAATTCTTGTATGTACAAAAGTTTATAACTGGCAAGTTAAACATATTTAATTATATACATGCGAAACTATACAATCAAAAAATACCGAGAAAATATTGCTTTGAAATTAAATTGTTAGCACAAATTAATTACAATAAAAAAAATACATTCGACAAAAAATATACGCACGATAAAAAAATCGATAGCTCTCTCTCGTTTATTTTATTTGTAAATTAAATTGTAAATAAAGCTACATTTATTCGCGTCACTTTCTCCAAGATGCTCTAACATGCTTCTACTATAGTTCTTGGTCACTCTAACGAGCGCGTTGGAATACCAAGATATAGGAGCATAGACTTATGGTGTAGAAGCACGTTGGAGCATGCAACATGAACAAACCTGCTGCGTGAAAGCCAGAAAGATATGCGTATAAATTTCTCTTTTTTTTTTTAAATATAAATCAATGTTCGCTAGTCCGACATACGCCTCGTTGTTCATCAATCTTCATAGTCTAAAATTTAATATTTACAGATTCATCGCAATAATACATGCTCTAGGAATATCGCGAAAAGGAAAAACACAAAGTTCGAAAGGAAAATGCTGAACTGATGACAAATCCGAATACAACGCATACATGTTAAGCCATTACGATTATGATCTATCGTTCTTATTATTAATTATAGTAAATTAATCGCCTCATCTAACGCAGCCTAGGCCGATTTACACCTTTGGTAAAAGACAACAAGACTTGTGATCACACGGCAGTTACGGTTGTGCTTAACAAATCCGAACTGCGCGAATTATTATAAATTAGCGAGTTAATAATGAATATTTAAAATCATTTATACATGTCACGATGATTACTAGATCGGCAATTTTATAATAAACAATCAGTAGGAATAAAAACTATGTGTACAAAAAACGCTGTAAAAAACTTACTTCGAGCTCTTTTCGATATTAAAATATTTGTAACATGACTAGCGCACGTTTAGTAAGATCAAAGCTCATATATAGTATAATAGTAATTAATGAACGTAAATTCATTCATGTTAAGTACAGTAAGCTCGGAAAAAGCTCGGTATGTAAAAATTAATAGACATTAATTAGTAAATTTACTGATTTTCTACGACGCATTTTTTTGCGCGTTTCTAAAAACTTCTCTAAAAATACAGATGAACACAAAATCAACTTACAAAGTCGCCACGATTGTACAAACATACGATTCGCGCATTATGTACAAATACATCTCTCAAACTCCTAACAATCACTCTAGTGCCTATCTTGAGAAGCTGCTATTCATTCTGCATAACCGCACAAAAATATCATTTCTCAATCAGAGACATTCATTACTTATATATGTCACACTTGCTATGGCGAAAGAAAGAAAATTATCTAAATAAATAAATGAAGTTTAAATAAAAACGGGGCGAGTATTCTCTTTGCGATACGTACATCAAAATACTATTTTAACACGATCCCTGGCACTTGGTATTCACGTTGCTAATACAAGGTGTGCGAGATGTATCGATTTACACATTCGACTATTCTCTCCCTTTTCCTTATTACTAAAATATCCCGGCTTACGTTACAGAGAAAATATCGCTTGGTCTCGCTTTGTACTTTAATAAGTGATAGACAATATACACTTATATTGGTGTTTCTCTTGATAGGATTCTAGAAATTATTCGTATATACCCGGAGCTTCGAACGCCTTGAGACGACAGGCGTCACTGGTCCAAATCATCTTTGCATTGATGAGATCTATATGCAACGACATACGAGAAAGAGCGATACGATCCTTGCGTAAAAAGTTACGTCTAGCATAACCGCATTTCTAAACCCTTAGATCAACGGAGACTCTTTCGTAAGTAAAATGACAATTGTTTATGGTATTTTACAATCAATTACAATACTTAAAAATAAATACTACTTAAAAACAATATGCACATTTTTTCTTACAGTAGAAGCCTTAATAAATATACATTTCTATATAACAAAAAATTGCGAACAATAGTTATTAAATTTTTATTTATATACTTTTTTTCCGCGTTTCTTCCGTGGTTCACTGTGGATCATTGAGATTCTGTACATATGTAGTGTATTGCGATCGTGGCAGAACCAGTCAATAAATTATACGTATATAATTATGAATAAAATATCGAACATATACTCGTTGCTGACAAATTTTTTGACAAAAAATTGACTTGTATATCGTAAATAAATCATTTTCTATTCGTAAATGTTGATAAAATTATATTATTACGAAATATTATATACTAATTTGCTAAAGCTTGGTTTTACGTTATATAGCAAAAAAATTTATACTTACAAATTTTGTACGGCTAGTAAGTATTATACGGTTCATTGATAAAATAATTACAAGTTTAAACAGAACTTAAAAAGTTCTGTTGTTAATACATAAACGTTAATAAAAATAAAGTAAGATTCTTCAGAAATGTAGCTTTCATTGACTTCCATTTCTGTAGGCTCATTATATCGTGGACGGCATTGTACTAAACTGACGGTATTGTACTAAACTGACATGTTGCAGCAGAAATAGGGGATAAATGTGTGCGAAGTTCTGCAAAATAAAATATTAGGTTCTCTTTCTCAATTAATAAATACTGAATAAGCAGATAACAATGCCTTCTAATGGAATTATTGATATCTTACCTATATTTACAATTATTTAGAATTCGCACACCTCATCTGTCGTTGCAACTTTCGATTATTTTGCCTTTTATGCACACTTTTATCATGCTGTCTGTCAGTATCATAAATTAATTGCTAAGAATGTGAATGACCGCCACCATCATCGCCACCCGTATCCTCAACTCGACGTATATCAACTGAATCGTCTTGCTTGTTATCTGTATTGTTATCTGTACAACTGAAACATTTAATTTGTCCGATATATATTGTTACATATGCACAACATGATTTATGCAATCACAAAAGCAGCAAATTCTCTAAAATAATACTCACTCTGCATGAATGTCAATTTCGGTTTGTTCTTGGACACGAATTTGTTCTTGAACACGAATTTGTTCTTGGACAGGAGATGATTTTGTTTTGGATTCTGTTTTGGATTCTGTTTTCGATTTTGTTTTGGATTCTGTTTTGGATTTTGTTTTGGATTCTGTGTTGTCTGTTTGATTATTATTGGCCCGTTTACTTTTCCTGATAATAACTTCCTCTTTACTATTCGATTCTTGTACCAAATACGTTTCCAATATTTCCACCATTGCTTTCAAGCAATTAACAAACAACTCAGCATTCTCATGCGTACAATTAGACTGTAAATATATTATTGTGAATATATTATACGTATTATTAATTATCTTAAGGAAAATTAAGACTAGCTCCTCAAATTCGGTAATGATCCTTAGTATTAAAACTAAATAACAAAAAAAAAAACAAATTAAATGCTAGAATTCAGAACTTACATTCGTATAAAGGCCTGCGAATCTCCAAAGACCCCGAAATCCGCAACTTTGCAAATAATGTTGCAAATGATGTTGATTTGAGTCTTCACAGGCAATCATGTTTTGAATAATCGTTTGTACTGCACTTAATATTACTTGATCTTGACAAGAAGACAATATACTGTTGATTTTCGCATCAAGCAAGTTATGTCTGCAAAGAGATATTCGTTTCAAGTTATAAATATTTGAAAATAGACTAATTTCTTTTCCATCTATCTAAGAAAACTTACACGACTGGGAAAACTTTCGGAAAAACTATAGTTGCTTCCGCTAAATACTCATAAAGAATTCGCGTTTCGTTTTCGCTAGTGGAATATTTTACTAGCGTAGCTAGCATAGTCAGCACCAAAGTCTGTGTTGAAAAATCTGTTAACACTTCCGGATCGAGCAAAACGTTATTTTCGTTGCTTAAACTCACTCTCGTACTCCGATCTCTCTGTAGCGAAAAAAAATATAAATACGTTAGTATTTTTAGTTTTCTCATTATGTTGACTCACGATAATATAATAAGATAAAGAAGATATTATAGTCGCAAGACATTTTCATGTTTCCCAACATGAATAGTTAAACACAACTGCATCTCAAACTGCATTTGAAAAAAAGGGAAAAAAATATAAAAATTGTTAAGTGACAAAAAACAAAAGTACCTGTTGTTCTGTGCTGTCCGTCGACTTGTCGTCCTTTGCGCTCGGCACGCTCAAGGATCGCTGCGATTTAAATAAAAGCCGGCCAGTCTTGTTAGTGACAAGTTGCATGGTGTTTTATATAATCCAGACAGGCATAGGCAGGCGCGGGCACACACCAAGAGAGTAAACAGAGATGCACGGAGGAATAAAATGATGTTATATGCGCAACAAGTCTACTAATATTAACTGGGAGTCAGATAAAGAAGTATAGCAGAACGATAGAAAAACCATCACGCGAAATCAATTTTCGTTCAATTCGTGCTTAAAAGCTGAGGTTTTGATTTTTTTTTCATGTGCGTCAAGAAACTCAAAAATAAAATAGAATATACATAAAATTGAAAAGTTCTATCAAGAAGATAAATAAAGTAGAATACTCAAAGTATATAAATTTTCAGATAGATAAGTACATGGATGTAAATATGTTTTACTGTAATGTTATAGATAACACACATACACACACACAAATTTTTAGGCAGTAGGTTTTTTGACGAACAGATATTTCTTAGCAAAAGTGAAAGATTTTTATCAAACAATTCATAAAAATACGATAAGCGAAGCTAGTAATAGTAATAGAAGCAATATAATTTATCGCGCAAATTACGCATATGAATATTTTATGAGAAAGATAGTTCATATTTTGTACGAATAAGCTTTGAATAATTTTACTTCGTGCGAGCATCGATTTTCTTAAGATCATGCAGTGCATTGTTTCAAAGTAATCTCATGCTCTCTGTACGCTCGAGAGTGATTTCTCTTTAACTTGCTAAGTAAGAAATTGTGTGTGCGAGAATGGTGCTACATTTTGAGAGATATATTCTACATAAATAATTTAAAAAAGTAAAATTTTCGGGGACGCAAAAAAGTTTGTATTCCTACAATATTTCCAACGAACAAGTTAACTACGCGTTGCTATAATTAACTGGGAGTATTCGCTGTAGCTTACAAAAGAGAAATTCTTGAACAACATACGCGCGCAATCATATAATTACATAATTTATTACCTGTGCAGATTGTTTTTGTTGTTTTGCTTGAGTAAGTGCTGATTGATCCAGTAAATCCCAAGTTTTCTGCCTCCTAGGATTAGAAGCTCCAGGCATTTCCTGGTAGGTATATAATAATCTCATCTATCATATTTTATGTATGCTATATTACAACAAATAGAAAAAAAGATAATCACCGTATTGCGCGATGGTAAAGTGTCAAGAACATCTGAACTGCCTGATGAATCGTGTAAGCTTTTGTCAAGTGAATGTCGAATGTGACATCTACTACGAACTTCTTCTGACACAGCCACTAGTGCTGCGGAATAAAATTTGAATAGATTTTTTTTTTTAATCTTGATATAAATATTGAGCTTCCGAACTCTCAAATCAAACATACCAGTTAAGTAAGGGACACTTTCAGGCGTTACTTCAAACTTATCCCTTTTGGAGGGTTTAGCTATGATTGCCAGTAACATGGTCAATACTCTGACCGTCCTGGTTACTGTAGTTGGTGTAGGATGCCTGTAGCCTTTCAGGAGATGACCAACCAGCGCGAAATGAAAGTTAGACTTAAAGGACAAGCCCACGGTGTAATCCAATAGTTTAAATTGAGGTTCCAAAGATTCACGCGTTGACATCATTACGTGTTCTAGTGTCTAGAAAGAATAGTGATAGTTTATTCTCTATTGTTCTGCATATCAAGATATTGAAAAATTAATCAAAATTCGAGAAGAAATTTTCTGCAGACCTTCTCATCGAAAGTGCCTTGCGAATCAAGTGTATGCAAGTTTTGCTCTAGAAGGGCTAGACCGGATGCATATAACGACGTTTCGTCTAACTCTAGAACGGATGTGGCAACCCAGAATAAATACCTATGTATTGGAGATTCCTTAACAGAAAATGATAAAACAGATTTGATATTGAATATAAAAAAAGAACGAGTTCCAAGGATCTAAACGGGAAAGAAACTTACAGGTCTCAGAAGAGGTTGCAGTCGTGTTAAGCACATAACAATAGCCTCTATAAGATTAATATCGTTAAAACTTTCGAGCGCCTTCATCAATATCTTCAGCAATTGTTTCATATCTTTATCCGTTATACTTTTGCTGATACAACCAAAGACGATGAGAGCCCTCGGCTGCAAAGCTGGATTTAAGCAGAAAGCAAAGTTCTTCGCTAACGAAGTCCACGTTTTTAACCAATCGCAACTTCCAAACTGGGCAAATAAAGTCTCTCCTTGTCCTGCGTTCCATGCGAACTTCTTTGATCGCTACTCCACTTTTCATTCACGGGTTTATTGCTGGAGTTTGGATGTTTGTAAAAGGCTGTGCCAGCAGCAGATTTCACTTTGCTGATGCCAAACAATAGATAAAACTTGGGCAATGAGAACTCGTCTAAGCTCATCCGTAGTATCCTATGTGTATCTTCGGAAAAAGCAGGCGAACTACATGTGCATAATGAATGAATAGTGTTGATCACTAAACCATGAGTGGAAGCTCGCATAGTCAAACTACCAGAACATAAGAGCAACGTTACCGTATGAAAGAGATACGGCAAATGTTTTCCTACATCCAGACAGTTATTAAAAGATAACATCAAAAGATATCTCGCTAGAATCGCTATGTCGCTCCACATTATATGCTGCTCTAACTGTGACGTTGGCGACATGCACGTTTTATCCACTATTCGACATACTTTGTTAATCACTTTCTTGGCGACCAGTTCCACGTTACCAGATGCCAGAGCAACAGCAGTATCAGCCATAATCTCGGCCATCGGTGAACCTAAGCCATATCGTGTGCTACGTTGAAGAAAAATATCGAGAACACCGTCTATCAGTTCTGGCAACATGCCGATTGTGCTCCAGATCTTAGCCTGTATACTCGGATACATTTCAATTTCCTGAACGGTTAACGTAATCAAATCGTCCAGGATCTCTGTAACCTGTTTCTGCCGCTTGCTTTCGTCGTGGGGTTTGTAAAATCGCACGAGGTTGCTGAGCCACGGCGTCATATATTCTAGGCATAAATGTTTCAGTTCAATAGTCGATTCCCTGAAGCCTTGTATGCATTCTTTGAGAAACTCGAGCGTGAGATGCGGATCGTTCGCTGCCAAAGTCTCACTTAAGTGCTTGATAAATATGGTGTTATTCGATGGTATGCAGATACCGGACGTCTCCAACAATTGGCCTTCTATTTTCAAGCCAAAGGTTGCTGTAAGCGCGCATAGATGATTGTATGCGGCAGTCCGAAGATTAGGATCAGGACTACCGAGATTCAGTAGAGCCATGTTCAGTAAAGTACCGGGCACATCTTTAGGCCTGATTTTCGAGTGAACGGCCAAGGAGTTCGGATTCGATAGAGTCCAGCGACTTCTAATGTGAGCTATATTCTGAACGATGCTGTTGCAATCACTGTAAGCGAAAGTCAAAGGTCCTGCTTCGTTGGAAATGCTCAGCACAAATGAATTGTCATCCACTAAGCAAACTTCTTCTATTTCGGACGCATAATAGACATCATTTAAGAGAATGGATTGCGATAACACTTTAGATCTATCTGTATGCGTTATCTGTAGTGTCGTTGGTCCGATCTTCACGCATACCTTCATTTCTTTATGAGATAGTTTCAAGACGCCGATGAAGACTTTCAAGTCTTCATCCAGAGATAATGTTGCTCCAGGTAATTTTTGTTGTTCGACATCGATCACGTCGTTTAATTTTCCTTGGCCATCAATGAAAATAATTTTTCGATTACCTTTCAATGGTGCCAGAATACTATCATGATACTTTGTGTATTCACGTACCCAGTTATTACAATTATAAATGTATACCGCGTGAAGATTTTCATAGGCTGCCGCAGGTAGAACGTAAAACCATTTTTGCAAAAATTCTGTCCTAAACCGATTATCTGAACACGTGTGAGTAAGATCGACGACTACATCATATGGAGAATGATAAAAAGGTTTTAAAGTTAGAATGACGTGATATATCAGTAGATCGCCATTCGTTTCGCCAAGTCTGAAAAAAATAAACAAAGTTTAAATGATAAATTCTTCGCTATACCTTGACCGTTATTTTATATCTTATAACGATTTGCACTTACTTGAATCGTCGTGAAATGTAATAAAACACTGGATAGCCTTGTTTGCTGGTGCCTGCTTGATAAAAAATATTCATGCTTTGAATACTTTTAAATTCTTCTCTCTCGTGCATATTATATTTCATCATGATCTCTTCAAAATTAGTGGACGACATGTCTTTATTCGCCCATCGTGACATGCGAACGTAAGTAGTAGAAAAAAGCGAGCTAAAATTCAAACATGGAATCAATTCGCGATTTATATTAATCATCACGATGATGACGTAATCAAAGCGAAATAGCTTCAGAACTCACTGGGAATCCACCGGTTTATGCTCGGGTGGCCCAAGATACGCTAATAACGTAGCCATTTTGTCAAATGGTCTCCTTCCGACAGCTTTATGATCTCTACTACTACTAAGATAGTCTCCAATTTTTTCTTGATGATTCCACAATAACCTGTGCAACGCCAATACATTGGCATCCGAAACGAATGACATAGGATGACTGGTTTGATCAATTGTTTCGCAATCCGATGCTATCTGTATGATAAATCGTCGACCAATCTCAAAATGCGTTCTTAAGAAATTATTAAAAGGCAACATATGCTGCTCCTTGCTAAACTCTACATGATTTGCAATGTTCTGCAATATTTTTGACATAAGCATTAGGCCTCGTTTAATTTCATGTGGTACTGGTTTATTTATGATACCAGACTCTTGAGGTGAGACGATTGCAGGATTAATGAAACGCAGAAATATCACCGTTCCTACGGCTACAATGTTACTTTGTGGAGATTGCGGAAATCTCTTGCATAATACTTGATACAGGCAGTGACACATAGAGCGTAACTGCGGAGGAAACCTGAAAAGAAATTTTGGATTTGAGCAACTTTATTGTAAGTTGTAATAATGATTATACTTACGTATCTGCCGATGATATGATAGCATTGAATACTTTTTGTGTCAACATGATTAAGTTTTCACCGTTTTTTTCAATATTTTCGCTAGAATCAATCCTTGCGCTATCTACTTCAAAATGAATTGTTGAGTTCTCCAGTAAAGGTGTGATGAGAGGCTCGAGTAAGCCTTGCAAGTAGCTGGTGCCATAAATTTTAAAGCAGAAGGACATGATCTTACTTCCCAGAGTATTACCACGAAAAAGAGTCTGTATACAATCAGTTAGCTCGACTTCTCGGTAGAGCATATTCCATAATAATGGTGATAACAAATGTTTTGCGTCAAATAGTGTCACGAAGACACGCGCCAACTCATCCATTTGATTCGTCGTCACTACATTAGCTAGTGCCATGGCGATAGGCAATTCGCCTTTATCACTGATCATTGTAACAAGTTGAACTAATTGTTCGTATCTGTCCGCTAGTACAGTTTCAGCAAGAGTATCAAATTCCGTACCCTGCTGAAGAATTTTAGTCAACACTTCCATAAATGCGGCTCGCGTCTGCAGATCTGTGTTGTAGCCCAAATCTAAGTAAGAAAAAAGTTAAAGTTTAATGATAAAATCATTAATTTGATAGTTATAGAATAACTGAAGAATTGTCTAAAAAAAGTAAAATAGTAAATAAAATTAAAAGTAGCAGACTTGTTTTTAGGACTTAGACTGGTATAATCCATTTTTCATCCATCAAAATAAACTTTTGAATTAAAATTATGTGAACTGATTTATTACGTACGTATGGAGTGCCTCAAGCCACTGTCTATATTAGCACTAAGAAGATTACTCATAGCTTGAATAGCAGTGTTGCGCAAAATGGCTACTTTGTTAGTCGTTAAAGTAGGCCGAGATACAACATCTTTGTCTTCTGATGTTGATGATGGACCGTTACAGTAGTTCATTAATTTCATAAACAGCGTAAAATATTTCGAAAAAAGTTCAGATTTTGCTTCCATCAAATCAACACGATCAGAATCTTCAGGTTGTAGAGGCAGTTCACGTAATAATGCTCCTACTGCTTCCATACTAGCTTGATCCAAATCTCTATAGAAAGTTAAAAGTTAAACAGATTTAATGGTGATAACTTTTTTTTATTTTCAACATAGAAGTAAACGTATATGAAGTAAAAATAAAATATTTACGTGGCATAAGTTAGAATATCGTTGGCAGTTGTTGAAGAATGAGGATGTGTACACATTACCCACTCAGTTAAATATTCAACTAGTTTGTTACGAAATTTCAACTCCTGTCTAAACGCAAGATCGTCCCGTCTCTTCATCATAGCTTCAACTAGCTGGCATAATTTGGTTTTAATTAAAATCGAGTGCACCGTCTTGTCTAAGTGCCTGACGTATCTAACGATTGCCAACATCATGCCTTCGATGCTAGTCACTCCAAGATATTCCGATGGTTGATCCGTCGTTGAATCCAAAATATTTTTCATTATAAATATAGTGTGCTCAATAAATTGTGTGTTTAAATCCGAAACCACTACATGACCATGTGGGTCGAAGAATTTCTCAACAAAATTTTTTATCTGATCGAATAATATTGGATATAGAGCAGGACTCATCTCGTGTGCGACCAACTCCTTTACATGTTTCTGTATTTGATTGCCAAGTTTCTCATTGTTGCAAATTAATAATCGTAGTAAGTTAAATACGAATTGTGTCACTGGACAACATTGTGCTTCTTGATTAGAATTTGATGAACCAGAGACAGAATCCTGTTGTCTTATCAAACTCCTTTTATGTTCCGGATTAAAAGGGAATACACCATATGGTGGTTTATTAGGTGAACGACGCTGTAGACATACTCCGCCCAAAGCGCAAAGAAACCCTGTCATATTAGCCCACTCGTTAATTTGTTCTTCCATTTCGTGTTCTGAATTTTGGTGCGCCGCTCTCCGTTTTACATTGCCGCGACAAAACGGCTCTACCTGTACATCCTCAGTTTTGCTTTTAGGATAATTGGATAACTGCCGTGAAATCGCTTCCCAATTTTTAAATGTTTCTTCCCAAGCCTAAAAATAGTCAATTAAGAAATAGTCAATTAAGAAAAAAACTATGTTTGATGTTTGTGTTAAATATACAATTTATATTATGTTGTTTTACATGTATATGTAGAGATAGATTTCATATTACACATAAATACGAAAAATAAATATATATTAAGGTACGTACTGGTTGTACACCATTTACGCAATGTTCTATCTTTCTCAATAGAGATAATATTTTCTTTTGTAATGTGACACGCCCTGAAATAAAAAGAAACGTTAAAATGCTGCATCAATACAATTTCTTCATTTAACAATCAATTTATTAGAGAAACAACAATAAAAATATAAAAGTAATGAACAAAATTGGAGACAAAGACTCACCGTAATTATATTCCTGATAATATAGTCTAGTCTCCCCGTGAGCTATTATCATAACAAGATCTTTAATATTCTACTGCAGATGTATAAAACTATTTTATTAATTAAAGTAGAAAAATGGATTCAAAGATTCACAAGTGAATCTGGGAGAACATTTCTCTCCATTTGTTCTGAGTATTCTCATAAAATCTCGTTAGAGAAATAAAACGCACCAGAGATCAATACCGTCGAAGCTTGCGCCAATTCTAAATACAGCTGATAATTGGGAAGCAAACAGGTCACTGCTACTCCATCGCTGCCACAAAGAATTTCAGCTTCTTCACATAATAGTGCAAAACAGGACATGGATACCAAAACAGCCTCTATGTCTATGCTCCATAAATACATCAAACACATGACCTGGACACGTTACAAGTTTCAGAAATTAATTCTAATTGGGCATATTTTGCAATAATTAAAAGTCTGTACCTCAAGTTTAACATGTGCTTGTTTGCTAATCACAACGTGACTCTCCACATTCGCGTAATCTTTGTATTGAGAAAGAAAAGCATCCCTGCAACTCAGTATCTTGCGAAGCCATTTGAGTATAGTTGTATAATTGAAAATTTGATGTTGAATCAATTTCTGAGAGATTGAGAAGACGACTTGCGAACTGGCATCCCAGAAAGTATCAAGCGGCGCTTCTGGATTCCACGCTTTGATCTTATCTGGATGATGTAGTTCTAATAAAGCTTCCATCGCTTCATGGGCAATATCTGGCATTGTGGGCTGATGGACTAATGAGACAAGTCCATTAATCAGCTCTAAAGTGGACTTTTGTATTTCGTGACCAGCTGTGCCGTAATTCTGTAAAATTCGTTAAATTAATATAAGAGCCATAGATATCTTATTGATATTTAATCTATATGTATTTTATATCTCAACTGTTGATATACTATGTATATGCATATGTTTTTTTAACTATTAATTAAGTATACATGAGTAGCAAAGTACACGAGTAGTTATATTTGTATTTTTCATCGATATCCTACTATAGACACTTATATTCACGATCATTTCATATTAATTTATTAATAAAGAACGTACATGCAACATTAACATAGGTTCCACGTGAATGAGTCGCACCAACACCAACAACAAGTTTTTAGAATTGGCTATCTCCTCTTTAGACTTGAGAGAAAAATTGTGAATCATGCGCAACGGCGTATTACTACAGTTCTGCGTCATTTTGTTCAGGGTATCAGTAAACATATTCCTGAGGTCTGTGCCATATGAATATACAAGACTGTTCTCTGGCCACCACGATAATCTCGGCTGTGTGAAGATTCTGAAATATGACATCAAACTTGATCAAACTTGCCAACAATTTACAATATCCTCGTTCGTGATCACTACGAAAAGAAAATATTTTCGGCACTTGCTTGTATAGTGAGCTGACTAGGACGAATTGGTACGTTGACGGGTAGTTGACATTCAAACAAAACTTAAAAAAAGCTTCGTTGTTGACTGGATCGATACGAAAGGAGCTAACATAGCAATCGATCATCAAATCGATGTCCTGCGCGCTATAATTCTGTCCGCGTGAAAATTGTTTCGAAGGGTTGAAGAGAAGGCTCATTAAATCGTCCATCAGTTGCTTCGCCAGAATTAGGACGACAGAATCGTTGCTGGTGACAGAATCGTTGCTGACATACGTGGCTGCTTTAATGAGATTGACGCATGTGACAGCCGCAGCCTCAGATAACTGGCGACTAGAAGAGCTACCGTGCATTCTTAGACTACGTTTCACGTTGTCGATGAACTGCTTCTTCTTCGAATACCGTGGAGAACCGGGTGGCCCAGTATCGGCGTTCACGATCTCCAACACCTTGGGCGAGAGTATTAACAACATCACCTGCAACGGCCAAACAGAGGCCGCGCGACTCTTTTTCTCGGCAACGAATGTGTCGAGAATGTCGAATAACTCCTCACACGCCTTACTAAGATCTCCGTTAGGCTGCTTTTGTACATCGGCGAACTCCTGCGAATACGTAGCCATCCAATTCCAGATAGCTTTCTCCAAGGGATTCATAATCACGAGATACGCTGACTTCTTGCCAGTTAGTTGCCGGACTTTCTGTATAATTTCTGCAACGACAGCGCGTAAGTATAGAATGTATTAAATTTTTGTATTATGCGATCGTGTAACATTAATAATATCATCGCCTACCATTCAGTAGTCTGGTTAATCTGTGTACATCAAAATTGATATACTGCATTAACTCAATGTCACTATAATCTGAATTCTCGTCCCCGCTATTGGGCAGTTCCTGAAGCCTGGCAGATATCCGGTTAAAGACAGCGTTGAAGAAATTCAAGCTTAAAGCGAACAGTACTTTGCTCGCTAAATCCCTAATCATTTTCGTTTGTGGACTGTCGTAGGGCATGCCTGCAAAAAATTACAATTATCCCTGATGATTCAACTACTAATGCATTTTATACTAAATATGCACTTTAATTTTCATATGATCAGGTATGATATACACATAGAAAAATATTATTCATCAATTTTACTTTCTTCGTTTTTCAAGTAATGCTTACCTTTAACAAAGAATTTTTTATATTAATTTTAAAATATACTATTACAAATTTTAGAAACACTCATTATATACTTAAAACAAGAATTTATTTTCTTTTTTAAAAAGTAATATAAAATTAATCGAAGAAGTGACTTTATATAATATATAATAAGAATATGTTTTAATTCAATAATCTTAATTAAAATATTAAATTATTATAGAATTCAGAATATATTTTGAATAAATTTAATACTTGTGATAAACTTTATGATATTCCCTAAAATTTTTTAGGAAGAGTGGAATCTACTTTTAAAAGAATGACAAAGAATGAGAATTAAGTCAGTATTGAAAAAGAATAGCTCAATTGGTAATTTTTAAGAATAAAAGTTCACACTTTAGAGTTAGATTCCACTCATCACAAGCATTAAATTTATTCAAAATATATTCTGAATTCTATAATAATTTAATATACTTTAGTTAAGATTATTGAATTAAAACATATTCTTATTTTATATATGAAGTCACATCTTCGATTAATTTTATATGACTTTTTAAAAGAAAATAAATTCTTGTTTTAAGCATATAATGAGTGTTTCTAAAAAAAATGTTAGAGAGTACATTTACAAATATATAAATATATATAAATTTTTAAAGTTAAAACAAGTAATTGTTACTTGTGTATAGTATACATTTTTCTGTACATACAAATCGATTCTGTAAACGTTACAACGTCAACTTATGTCAACAATTTTCCTTATTTCGCTCACCTATGAACTGGCATATCTCTCGAAGCAACAATTTTACATTCATCGCCTCTTCGAATTTCGTTGTGTCCTTTGGTGTATTTGCCAAGCATTTCTCCAGCGTATCCAGAACGATAATGATGGATTCCTGCCGATCTTGCTCTTTGGATTGAAACGGCCGCTGACTGCTCGTGCTCGGCGTAAGCTCATTGACTCGTTGCAACATCTTCGTAAGACCAGATATAACGAGGGAGAAACGATACTGAGAGATTTCTATTAGACATTGCTTGCTCTTCTTTTCGTTCACCCGCGAATGAGGACTTTCGGGACCGGAACGACATGGCAGCTGTATTCAAAGAAGTGATCTCTCAGCAAAGATAAACTAATAAAAAATATACAATGTAACAAAGATAATTTAAATATGTATGTCGAGATGAATAGTATTATTGGATGAATCCATTTTCGTTTCCCATGAATGATTATCAGGATGGAGGAGGCACGCATGAAAGAGGCATTAAAAGTGAAACAGAACAATCTTCGGAATAATGGTGGCGACAAATTGCCTGGACATTGGGAAACATCAATTTATATACTCGTTCGACTCAATCGATTCCAGTATTCCCTTTTGTTCGGCGTATCGGGCAACGGGCAGCGCGGTTGAGCTGTGCGTACAGGGAATGCAACTTTCATTCATGGATATACCCATCCCATTCATCGACTCGTATCAAACAGTAAAAGAATTCTTTCTTTTTTACCGTCATTTTTGCGGGGATGGACAGACACGAGCGCAGAATCTTGTCCTGTAACTTATTTGATATACCCGGAGATTCATCGACTGTCGAATATCGTTCTTAATATATCGCGAATACAGTGTTCTACGCGAATTTATATATCGCTTGTAAATAACGGATTTCGTAATTGGAGCACACACACACACACGCACACAAAAGCATTTCCCCAATTATATTATTCTCACGCTGATCAACGAAATAGCGTTCGTGAATCATAAATGCTCGTTGTTACCATTGCTGTCACTGTAGATTATCTTTAACTTTGGTTTAACTTATTTTCCATCTTTATCTTTCTAGTTCTAAAAATAGGAAAGGATAAAGAGGAAATTAAAACGAGATTAAAGTTAATCTACGTTGATAGAAATGGACAAAAGTCACACGAATTTACACCTCGCACCCTTTAATAGATACGTTACTGTATATACACCTTGATTGAGCTGCTCTTACGGCGAGGTTGACTGAAGGCGGAGGGGGCGAAGGTCAAACCGCACGAGGGGAGCCGGGGGAGGAGGGGCCATCTTTGCAAGAATGCATCTTTTCATGAATGAACGAATCAAGGAGGGAAGGAACGACATCGTATTCTCGGGCACGGTGATACCCCCCCACTTTATCGATACGCGCTCAAAATGTATCACCGTCTAGCACGATTATAGACGATTGTTTCTTTTATTTTTTTTCTTGGGAAAGATAGATCATCGTAGGTATTCGAAAAACCTGTTCGGTTCGATTCTTTCAGTCACGTCTATTGGTAAACATTAGATCAACGATTCAATCACATGATGGTTTAATAATAGGAAATCTAACATGTGGTATCTCGAAATTGTATCAGACTTAGAGAATTAAATAAGATAAGACAAATTGTAATAATACTTTGATTAATAGGTTGTTCTGTATATATTCCGTCAATTTCTGTAGATATTATTTAATATTTGATTTATGTAAATAAATCTTTTATACTAATCTTTAAATACAATATAGATACATAAGACTCTGATGTGCCACTTTTCATTACAACAGCATTCCAAAATTTTCGATTATCAAATTTTATTATTTCATCTTTGGCTTTATTGTACAAAAATTCAATATTAAATGATCGATTTCCTTATAAAAAAGTCAATTTATATCATACCCGAAAGTCGCACGCGATACAACTTATGTATGTAGAGATGTCTTGTAAATAAAGTAATAGGAATCTTTCAGAAAACTTGTGTTTGAAATATTGACAAGATACAAATAATTACAAACGATCTTTCTCGTGTCTACACAACGATGCCCTGAGAATATTGTAAACTTTTAGCCGTTGCCATTATATTCTAAATATTTAACAGTTGATAAGGATAATCTCTAAACATCTACGTCTTTGAATTGTTTCTTATGCTGTAAATATCGCTCCAAATATCGTACACATTCCTGATACCTAACTCTCAAGTTCAGCACGTATTAGGAGACAACGTTGACCAATTCAGGTATAAAACCGGCAGTCGCATTCTTCGTCCTTGCAGTCAGAAACTCCAACCTTTGTTCGAGAAAAATTATCCACCACCCGGCATATCGCAACGAGTGACAATAGAGCTCGAAATTCGATACCCGGAAAACGGGGGGCGCGAGTATGGCGGGAACGACGCCGACGGTACCGGTGTAGTCCCAAGACGCGCCCATGAAAGGCGTTGACGAGGAATCGACGAGCAAACGGGTAAGTACCGTAAATGCATCGTGGATATGACATTAGAGGGAGGAGGAGAAGGAGGAGAAGAAGGTGGTGGCCGTACACCGGAAGAGGGTGGCGAGAGTGAGACGGAATCGAGAGGAAAGGAGAAGGAGAAGGAGAGGGCGAACGCGAAATGAAACGATCAGGAAACGAAGACGAGGAGATCGACGCCTCTCGCATCGGAGCACTGCCTACCTGATCCTCGAAACGCGTGATTAGCACATTCGCCCATTCCCCGGGCTTTTGCGTCCCCATTTCCGTCCGAGGTTCACTGACTGGCCGTTACCACGTACCACGAATCGCTAGCTCGCTACGAGCTGTGACCTTACGTCATCATTTATGAACGTTGACTGAACGACCATCACCGCAGATCTCCGAATCGCCCCCGTTGGGAGGGGCACTTAGGGTGGTAGGGCAACGAAGATGATCGAGTACAGTCGGAGGTGTACGACCGCCTCACCGACGCACCAATTGTGCGCTATGTGCTCAGGAATGTAGCAACAAACCGAAGGATTCTTTGTATAAGAAATATATTCTTTAAATTCTATTCTTTAGAAAAGAAGGATATTACTTCTTTCTGAAATAAAAAAGAAAGAGGAGCAATTGAAAGTTTTTGATTACAATACAATTTTCAAACATCAATACAATAATTCTATTCTGTATTACATCTTTTCTTTATGACTATTTGCTTGTTTAACGTTAAAACATTCACCCTTTTTACCTGATGATTTTGTACAATTTTATTACGTTATATTAATTGTGCTGTTTCAAACGATAAAATTTTGTTTTATTCATTGGGGAGAATGTTACATTTAATTATATACATCTATTGAGAAACTACAGGGGATGATAGCTTCGTACATCCCTGATTCGGTCAACGCTGGTGCACAATCACCCCTCCTTGCAACCACGTCATTCATAACTGTGCAACACGGCCTTGTACCCGGGACAATTGCCCGTACGAAAATTCGATCACGTTAAGTGCGATATTGCAACGTGGATGTCCTTTCATATGCTCCACTTTATTGGTCAGTAGGTACATAAAAAAGTCATAATCTTTATTCTACAATCTTCGCCAAATTTATTTGCGTAATTACTTTTAAAAATTAACGTATCATACAATTATATTGTTCATTTTTATATAGATATTTATTAAGAAATAATATAACATGTTATGTAATAAAATTTGAAAAACTTAAATACAATAATTATATATAAGATAAATAAAACAAAACATTCATCTTACTGTTTAATATCACAACAATCACTACATAACAATATACGATCATAAGATAATCATCACTCTGTAATCACATAATTTTGATTCTTTTTTTCAACTTTTCTTTACCGTTGTCTATTTAATATTTTCAGAACATCCCCCCCCCCTCTCTCTCTCTCTCTCTCTCTCTTTCTCTCTGATTAATCTCCATTCACTCTTTTAACAAATGAGATTTTCTCCATTTGCTCTTTTAAATAGAGAATTACTGCTAATAAGCAAGTAAATTACTTAGAAAAATTAAGTGAAAAACTTTTTACTTATAATTAAGATTTTTGAAATATTAATTTAAATTTTCTTTAGCGAAAGATTATATAATTCTTTTTAAATATATTATTTTAAATAATTAATAATTTAAAATAAATGTTTTCTTTTCGATATTTTCAAACGATATTAAAATTTACCTTCATGACAAACAGTAAATTGTGTACAATCTTTCATAAGATACAAATTTGTGCTATGTGCTATGCTCTTATTGGATATTTCGTTTCGTAATTCTTATTTAATGAATTATTTAAAGAAGGAACATTAAAACTAGTTTCAGTTTAACAATATACAATTAAATAGCATGCTAATTGTATTTTTTTAAAAATAAATCTTTTAATAAGAGATCCTTGCATACAGTTAAACAATTATATTAAATCGAATATCATATATTCATAAAAAATGCTACATGCTATAATATTTTTTCATCTCTCTGCCACAAAAGTTTCTCATATACTCCGTTGAAAAATATATTCGCAATATAAAAGAACAAATATAATTCCAACAATAATATTATTTTATAATTTAGAAACAAATTTCTATTTTATGATATTCTATCTTTTTTTGTAGTCTGTAAATTGTAAAGTTATATAGAAAAGTTAAATAGAATTCTAAAAAATATATTCGTCGGAGATCGCTTATCTATATAATTTTATATATTATACATGTGGAAGTGATAATGGTTCAATTTAATACACTAATTGACGAATGATAACAGCAATATTTTTCTTGCATTCTACGGCATTGAACGCTACACAGATATATTCGCATAAGAATCACATTCTTCATAATCGATAAGCATATCGTCAATTAAGTTAACGTTTCCTGTGTGCTAAATAGATTCTTTATCATTAATATTAAATACTACATAGTTACTAGTATCACTTTTCTTGGATAATTATCTATTCGTAAAAGGAATATTTTCTTTCAGCAAAGAAATCACAGAATCAAAAATATCCACATCTCGTTGTTGATGCTTTTTGATGGAATGAACGCTTTTTGGGTCCAAATCGGAAACTCTGACGTTGCTTAAAAAATAATGTTGATCCGAAAGTTTTATAATATTTTCCACAGGCATTCTTGATGCATATTTCCTCTCTCTGTAAAAAGAAAAAAATTATAATTACTGGAACATAACATATCTCATTATCTGAAATGCGTTTAATATGGTGAAAGTATAATCACCCACATGTTGCACATTTGCCGTTGTACATAATGATTCACATTGTACGCGTGAATTATGAATTATATATTTTCTGAATTGATTATAATTATATTAAGTCCAAATCAAATAATCATAATAATCAGATAAATAAAGTAGCTACTTATTTGCTGCAGTGTTGTTGGGTGACTATTGTATGATTTCGACAATGACTATTAAAATAATTAGAAAGCGCATTTCCTTTCAGAGCTAATGCATTAAATCAATTTTATCGCCAATTTTGCCTTTGTTATAAGATTTATACTAGTCTCGGGGCTTTAAACGTTACTGCAGTGAAAATACAGATCATTGTTTCGAACAATATACACTTACGGATGCAATTCGCGGAAGGTCATTAATATCGAACAATCTCTGGCGGCGACAAATAAAAGGTAATTTTGCAATGCTAACAAATGTTCGGTGGTAATCTGCACATTTGCCTTTCGTTCGTCATCGTTACTAGTTCTTTGATTATGCAGACTCTTGTTTCCATGAAATGGTTGGTGCGAATCTAGGTTGGAACTAATTTCTGTTTGCGATACAGGATCACCGTTCATAAGTACTCTGCCAGTATTAGTAGATAAAACACATTCTGAACTAGCATTACAATTTCTATTAAAATTGTCATCATGTTTTTGTACAATAGTACTCTTAAGAAACGTTTGAAAGTCTATTTCCTTCATGATTTCCATCTTCTGGAACAGAAAAAGATAAGTATTCTCTAATGCATTCATGTATTCAATAAAAATTCCTTCTTTTGTATGTTATAGCTAAAAACACATACCATAGGATTTCCGAGTAAAGCGTGAAAAACATTACGAGTTTTATTTAATTTTATCAAGTCAGAATATATCATATCATCATTTAGTAACGATGTAAAATTGGAGTAAACGCTGTAAATGTAATTGGTATTGACGTAGGACAATCGCTGCATATTCCATATTCGTTCTAGTACGGAGTTCTTCGGCAACTCACAATGATCAAAATTGCACTTCTGTAAGAAAAAAAGATAGAAATTAGTTAAAACGCAATGACATATTATTCTCAATAAATGACAATTTACAATCTAAATAAGTATCTACCTTTCCCACGAGGCGAAGGGACCGTTCGACTCTCGCAACTGTTTCTGGCGCGATACAAAATGTCGTTGGAACTTGATTCGCGAATACAAGAAAATTATGTGAAAGGGAGGTGGTAGGCAGTTTCAGCTGCTCTTGGGCGATAGGCAGCGTAAGGGCGGTGCAAACCAAATTGCAGAACTCGTCGACGTGGCGAGCTCGTCCGCCGCTCTCCGCATTCCGAAACCACTCGTCCAGCACATTCTCGAGATCGTTCGGCGAGGACGTTTGATTGTAGACGACGAGGCCGTCTTTGAAGATTTTCAAATTGTTTTGCGGCGATTTCAGAAGCTCCTTCATGGCAGCTTTCATGCGCGGCTCCTTCCCAGAGAACAGATCAAACGGGCAATAATTGCTGGGAGTAGCAACGTCTTTCCTCCTCAACTAAAAAATTGTTTGGTTTCAGAATAATATATACGTTATACTAAAGATCATATATCAAAAAAATAAAATAAAATAAAATATTTATATTTTTATGGTTTTTTTAAAAAACGTGTTTTAAACATGCTTAAAATGTGTTTTAAAAAAAACCACAATATTTTATTTTATTATATTTTTTTAAACAACATTTGCCAATCCTGTTGGAAAATGAATGTCATTATTTATTAACCCTCAATTACAACAATGGATAATTTGGATCCGAAATAAAAATTTTTAAATGACTGTATAATCTGTACGATATTGGAATATGTGATCCTAAATTGTAGCTAAAAAAAACTTTGAATCTCTTTGAATTCCTCTACCTTCCAATTGCCGTAAAGCAGAAGTTCACTCGCCTTTTGTACTTCAAATAGGTCGCTTTAGAACTTAGGTGCAGTTTTCATGCTGTAGTTGAGAATTAAGAATACCTTGGCGTACTGGTTGAGACAATACGGACATCCAGGAAACTTTTGCTCCGCCTCTCGTAAATATCCCTGCTTCGGCTTTATCTCCACGCAAAACGTTGAGCGGCTTCGGAAGACGGTCTGATCAAGTTCCAATTGCAAGTCCAAAAGCGTATAATCAGGAAACTTCGTGGCGTACGTGTCCGTGATTTCCTTATACCGGCGTATCTCTGCAACAAATGTAAGATTGAACACGACAAATATATGTGTGCTATTTTCTTCGCTTATTTTCAACGCATTTAATTTTGCCGACAGCTAAACTCAACGTTTTAATAATAACGACGAGATACACATTCGAGATAAAATGTGCGCCTATAAATATAATCGTAAAATAACGACTGTTCTAAAATAGAATTTCTTCACCGGAATTGTTCCGAAAGGTGGTACGAACGACAACGCGTAGGCGCGAAACATTTGCGATTCACGTGATTCTAAGATAGAAGAAAGTCACGCGAGCCACCGCGAATGTCGAGAGTAGCGAATAGTAGACCACATTATAAATATAGTAATACAGCGAATATAGATAAAACACGTTAATAAAACGTCATACTGCTTGTTCGTGAGAATGAATTTAGAGATCTTAAAATTGCAACAAGTGCTTTGCGAATTGGTGATTGACGGCGACTAACGTGGAGATACGACTTTCTCGCCAATTAAAAGATATCCATAAAATGTCGTAAAAAGTGAGAAATTCAACCATCGACCAGCTTCTCTCCCACATACCGTTATCGCTTTAACTTTCAT